TGTTTTAACTGGTTCTATATGTTGTATTTAATATGCTGTTATTATGGAATTAAGTGATTAAGACATTGCTCTTTCCCATCTTGATCCATTTTGTAGAGGCAAGTAAGAAATTATTATTAATTACTATTTATTGAAGAGCTACATCAGGGGCCCACAAACTTTTTAAACAGAGGGCCAGGTCGCAGTCCCTCAAACTGTTGGAGGGCCGGATTATAATTTTTTTAAAAAAAGAATGAATTCCTATGCACACTGCACATATCTTATTTGTAGTGCAAAAAACTATAGGCCTGTTTGATCAAGAAAAAATTTGTTTCTAAATTCGATTTGTAATTGGGGTGTTTTTTTGTTTCGATATTTAAAATATTTACAAAACTTTCCAAAAAAATCTTTTGTTATTTACGAAATTTCGTAAATATTTACAAAACATTTTAGAAACAAATTTTTTCTTGATCAAACAGGCCTATGTAGGGCAAATAGACATATGTTTGTGTGCTGGGGAGGGACTGGGCTGGCATGGCTGCAAATCCTGTTTCTTGCCATGGGAAAGGCAATTGCTTCTGCTGCAGTGGCCCATCCAAGGCCCAGAGAAGAGGCCTGCCTTCCTGGCTCTCTCCCTGCGAGGCCTGGCCAGCCTTGCTTCCCCTCCCATTTGCGCCAAGCCCTTCCCTGCAGGGGAGAGGGGCCCCTCCTCACCTTCTCCTTCTTCAGCTTGTAGGGCATCCCGGACCGTGAAGGGCTGCCTGTGGCCCCGCGCTCGGCCTTTCTCTCGTCTCTCGCCCGCTTCTCCTCCTCCTCCTCGCCGCCGCCTCCCTCCTCCTCCTCCTCCTCCTCCCAGCTGTGTTGCAGGAAGTGCCGGGAGGAGGAGGAGGAGGAAGAGGGCGCAGGAGCGCGCGCGCCATCCGATCGGCTCCGGCTGCTGCGCCCTCCTCCTCCTCCTCCTCCTCCTCCCACACAGCTGGGAGGAGGAGGCCGGTTGTAAGGGTGAGCGCGCGCGCGCCATCGAATCGGCTCCGGCTCCTGCGCCGCCCTCCTCCTCCTCCTCCTCCCAGCTGTGTTGCAGGAAGTGCCGGGAGGAGGAGGAGGAGGAAGAGGGCGCAGGAGCGCGCGCGCCATCCGATCGGCTCCGGCTGCTGCGCCCTCCTCCTCCTCCTCCTCCCGGCATTCCTGCAACACAGCTGGGAGGGGAGGAGGAGGAGGAGGAGGGCGCAGCAGCCGGAGCCGATTGGATGGCGCGCGCGCTCCTGCGCCCTCCTCCTCCTCGCGCCGCCCCTTCGCCCCGCCCGCCCCAGTTACTGCTGGGGTGCTTGGGAGCGCCGGATTGGCTCCCAGGCACCAGCACTGCAGCACAGCAGCCTCCATCCCATTAACGAGCGGAGCTTCAGCTCGTAAAAAAAATGGGGCTGCTGCTTCGATATTTTAAAACCCTTCCGGGTTTGAAAATATGTTTTGATATCGCTTCGGATATGCAAAAAATAACGATTTAAATACGAAATAACGAATTAACGAAACGAAACCGACAGGCCTACAAAAAACACTTTAAAACAATACAATAATTAAAATGAAGAACAATTTCATCAAAATATAAACTTATTAGCATTTCAATGGGAAGTGTGAACCTGCTTTTGGCTGATGAGATAGGATTGTTCTTGTTATTGTGTGCTTTCAAGTAGTTTCAGACTTAGTTTGACCCTGAGTGAGGGCCGGGTAAATGACCTTCGAGGGCTGTATCCGGCCCCCGGGCCTTAGTTTGAGGACCCCTGAGCTACATGGAAACCACATATAGAACCCGTTAAAGCATCAGTTTAAAAAAAACATATACAATCAACCACAAACTGATTATGTAAGTTCTCCATACATTCGCCAGGGATGTACTTCCTGTATGAAAAACAAAACAAGAAATACAATTCGGTCCCTATCTCTATTCAATAAACATTTGAAAATACTGTATTTCTTTTATTTTAAGTTTCTCACTCCCCAATATAAGCAGCACCTTAGAATCACCAGCAAATATATCAATTAAGCTTTTTCTGTTGGCGGTACTGAAATTAGTGTGCATCTTAAATCGATAGCATCTTAAAATCAAAGAAATACGGCAAATGGATGTGAGACAGTTTTTTGTCCTGTAGTCAAAACATTTGAGAATGTAAAACAAACTCAGTTTAAGAAATTGTAAGACCTTTTTTTTCTAAAAGAAATATCTTCAAAATAGTCAGAAAGGACTATTTGTCATTTGATAGTTATTGACTGAATCTACTAATATTGCTTTTGTTTGCTTAAAATGAAGCCCAAACAACTGAGGGCAAACACATGCATCCTTGTACCTGAAAATAACTGCTCAGATCACACTGGGGTTTCTAGTTTAGGAAATATAATGCCAGCCAAACCTTGACTGGATAAATATTTGTAGAAACAAGCACAATGAAAAAGAAGAAGAGAAATCACATGTAAATCCATGCAAATATTTACAATCGTATTTATTAATATTTAATTTATTTGTCCTGGTTTTGTTGTCAGTGGTTTCAGATGCTGATTTCTGTTGTGTGTCTTGCTGTTTCCTTGAGACATTACAATATCAGAGCTTGGAAAAGTAACAGTTCCCAGAATCCCAGTGGCCATGGAAGCTGGGAGTTGCTGTCCAACAAATAATTTCTCCAAGCTCTATGAAACCACAAAGCATGATATTCCTATTTGTTTATTTATTATTTTATTAATTAATGAAATACTTATATCTCATCCTACATCATGAGATCTCTGAGCTGCATACAAATACAGACAAATACAAACAATTAAAAACAAGGGTGGCCCACATTGGAAGAATTGTCTTGGGCCACACATAGAATCTGCTAAAATTGACAATAACTGATGAGCAAAAAACCCCATAAAACAAAAACAAAAAAACAGTAAATGCATATTTTTTTGTGAAATTTGCAACTACGGATAAGAGAAAAAGGTCCTTGCATAATAACCTTAATTATGTGTCGCTCCATTTGGATGGCCTTTTAAAATCATTATGTGAATGGTTTGAGGTTATAATGCAAATTATAGTGTAATAGTCAATTTTGTCTACAAAGTATGTGCTAGAGAGCTGCACAATCGAGTTACCAAAAAAAATTCTCACAATGTTTTAAGTAAATGTATGAGTCTGTGGGTTATTGTAGGTTTTTTCGGGCTATATGGCCATGTTCTAGACAGCATGGCCATATAGCCCGAAAAAACCTACAACAACCCAGTGATTCCGGCCATGAAAGCCTTCGACAATACATTATGAGTTTGTGTTGGGCCACATTCATAGGCATCATGGGCTACATGCAGTTCACAGGCTGCAGGTTGGACAGGTCTGATTTAAAATAATGCAAACAATTTCAATTGATTAAAACATAAAAATATATTAACAAGTTAAAACAGATTATAGGTTAACATAGCTTCAAAACAGGCACATAAACATTTTAGAGTAAATAACACAGACCTGCTAGGCCATTGTTTACTTGGTGCTTAAAGGAAACTAGCAGTGCCAAACAGGCCTCCAAGCAGGACTGTGTTTTAGAAATGGGGTGCCACATCCAAGGAAACCCTCTCCCACATCTTCATACAAAGTGTTGAACTCACTGGTAGGACACAGGAGATCACCTATCTTTAACATCCATTTCTGGAAAAAAAATTCTCCCAGCCTAGCTCTGATATCAGAGGTGAGCAGGATTATAAAGACAATTCAGTTCCTACTTAACATTTCAATATAGTAGTGGAGGCAAATCTGTGTGCCTTCAAGTCATTCTGATGGATGACAACCCTATCACAAAGTTCTTGGCAGAATTTGTTCAGAGGGAGGTGTATTGTGTATTCCTTCCCCTGAAACTAAAAGAGTATAGCTTGTCCAAGGTTTGCTTGTTTGTTTGTTTGTTTATTTACGATATTTGTATCCCGCCCATATTTGTATCCCGACTCAGGGCGGCGTACAAGTCGGCAACAATTAGATGCCATATATAAAAATACATCAGGTTTCCATGGCCAAGCAGTGTTCTGATCCAAATATGAGACCATTACATTACATGATCATTGCAGTGGCAATTGCCCAGCTAATTTATGAGTAACCATTTCCCCCCGTTTAGTCAAGAAACAAGACAATAACAACAAATATAATGCTATTTTAAATGTTCTAATTATATATTGTAGATTGTTATGGCATCAAATTGCTGCCAATTTGAAAGCCGCCTTGAGTCGCCTTCAGGCTTGAGAAAGGCGGGATAGAAATATTGCAAATAAATAAATAAATAATATAAGCACAAAAATCCACTTTTTTTGTTCAGTTCCTCAGATAATTGTTTTACACAAACAGAGATGCTGACATGATCAGAATCCTCTAGCCACCATAGCCACTGTAAATTTTGGTCCAAAAAGGAGCTTTTCCAAGTTCTGGTTTTACATATAGCCTGATAACATTTCAGGATTTCAGCATTTGTGGACATGCAGAGCTATGAATCAGAGAATACAGAAAGTAGGGCAAAACAGCAGCCCTGCCCAGTATGACCAAGTTCAGCCCCCTGTTCTAACAGTGACGGAATTTGTTATTTGAGGATACAATCTGAAATGTTTAACTTGACAACAAAAGTACACCCACCCCCTTAACCTATAACATTATTATTATGGCTAGGCAGCTAAATGAAATGTTTAGGTTAGTGGGATTTTTCCCACAGCCTAATGGAGCAGGTGGTACTTGCCCGGCCGCAAATGTATGTTTGGAAGTCCTGGGACATGCCCGAAAGGTAGCTAGCATGAAACCACCCAACTGGCATGTGCAAATACAGGTTTAAAGAACTCTCATTTTGCTGACTTTTGAAAACATGACTGGCTGTGTCAGGTCACATTTACCATCAATATTATTTTATTTCTAAGGCAATATGACATTCCTCATTTCAAGTTAAAACATTACTTCAGATGATAAATATGGTCGGAAAGAAAATCTAACCGCGCTGCGCTCTCCTCCTCCCCTCTTTTTTTAATAGAATAGGATCTCAGGCTGTCACATGAAGAGCACATTTTATAAAGAAGTATTTAGCACCTCCAGATGACCTCCATACAGAAATGCATCATGCTATTCAAATTCTGCCTGTCAACTGCTATGAAAAACAGTAAGTAAATATAAATGCCATTAAAGGGAGAAGTTATCTTACTGGGACAAGTTCTAGCGATTTGAGTTCTGACAGCTCCCAATTTGGATGCCTTCCAGTGTCAATAAAACTTGTTCAAGCAGAACCTTACCTGGTTTTCACCACATCGAGGGGGTGCATCAAGCAAATTTCTACAAGACCTGTAAGATGATAGAGAAGAGAAGCCTGGTAAATACTGTTGATCTCCACAGTTATTGAAGTATCCACTGTTCCAGCGCAAAGCATGTTGAGCAAAGAAAACAAGAATACAAAGACATGTACAGCCTCCTAACATTTTTTTCAAATGTCTTCTGAGTCAAAATAAAAGTTTGTAGGAAAACAAATATTATTTAAAGGCTCCCATAGCACATTGCCTGATCCAAGACATTGCTGGTTCAATTGTAGGGATGGATGAGAAATTAGTTCAGCTACCATTTTAGTGTGAATTTACCCAATACATACTCCCTGAATCAAATAGTTAAACTGAATATTTCAAAGTCAAAATACACAGCTTTCTTTGTAACACACAGCAATATTCAGATTGGAAAAAGTGAACATAAAACATGTACCGTTGAAAAGATGCATATGAACCGAGTATAAAAATGCTTTCTTCACTGGAATAAAGAAGGAAATTATATTTTTAAAAGCTTACCAAGATGCATGTACTTGCAAAATTCATGCAAAAATGTTGATAAAAACAGAAAGGAGGAGGAGGAAGAGGGAAATAAAGAGGAAGATGAGAAAACCGTTCAGAAAAAACTTAGCAGTGTTAGTATAAGTAAGTGAATAAAACTGGGCTTGACTGATTCCATCATTTTTTTTTAAACGCCACCTCTGACATTTAAATGTACTAGGACTAGGTGACCCAATGTTTTTCAGCCTAAATGTCCCAATTTCAATGTTGGAATAACAATGCTAGTCTACTTTAAAGGCTATTGTAATCTACTTTGAACACTGAAAAAGCAAAAGAGAAATGCTAATAATTATTATGATTATTAAGAACAGCAGCTCTTGCCCAAGCTGTTTTTGATTTGTACTTTTTGTTGATCTTGTGTGCCTTCAAGTTATTTCCGACTTATAGAAACCCTAAGGTGAACCCCTATTATGGGTTTTCTCTGGCTCTATTTTGATTATATCTTGAGTTTTAAAGGACCTTAATTAACACGGTAATTTAAAACTGTGAAGAAATGGTGTGCTAGTATCATTCCTGAAACTATTTGAGTAGAGACATGCTGTAGGTTTCATAGGACAATAGGTAGGATTCTGGTGTGCAAGTGGGTGCGTGAAAAAGATAGTTACTATGCCTTACCAGAAACACACTCAGCAGTTGTCACACAGATGTGCAAGTGACAAGGACAGCATGGAGCAATTGCATAGTATATACTGCATCAAAATATGTAGAATGGTTAATTCACTCCATGGCAGTAGAATGGTTGATTCACTTTAGTTTTTACTCAGAACTTTACGGCAGCCATCGAACATACTGAACCTATTTTTGAGAATAGGTTTTATCACTTTGGACAGCTTCTTGAAAGTTCAAACTAAAAGTAAGAGCAGATTCACCACCCATTAACATGAAAGCCATTAGCCACCACTAGTGTACTATGCAAATAGGTTATGCTAATATTGAAAGAGAGGTTGTAATCCATGAAAAGGTCACCATGACCAGGTTTCTGTAGCCTGGAAACTAAGGACCTCATCACACTGAGGCCCAGAAGTTGGGTGACAGTGAAGAAAACCATGGGGCAATGTAACGCTTTGTGACCTTACTGTTGGTTGTCATGGGATCCCTTCCCATGGCACATTGCCAACACGGAGCCAAATGGAGCCCAGTTGGACGTAGCTCAACATCATTTGATGGAGTCTGGGGAAATCTGGCCGGCAGTGCAGAGAAGCACAGAAAAGTGCCAAAAAGACTCCATGTGATGAGGTGGCTGGTATCCATGGAAGGAAGTGCCACTTTCATTCATAGGCAGGAAAAACACCTAGTAAAGGCTCTCATTAATGGAAGCAAGGAGGAAATTTTGGAAAATTCTCCTCTTGTAACAGCCTCCTCCTCTATTTCAGTAAATAATAAGCCTCCTACCCAATTGCACTCTTAGGAACATATCTGGGTGAAATTTTACTCAGAGGATGCTGTCATTCATGGAAACAAAGCATAACCAAAGCCACCAATGGCGCCAAATAGACAGTTAAAAGCTCCGCAGTGTAATTTTGGCCAGCAATGTCCAGTTTATTTTACTAAGAATTAAATAATGCATGGGTGCAATGGGACAAACTTCAAAAGTGTATACGTTTATAAAATATTGGGTGCAATGGGGCTTACTTCTAGATATATACCATATGTACCCATTTATAAGTTGAGGGTTGGTTTGGGAACAAAATTTTGATATGTGGATGTCAAGAATGATATCACCGATAAGGGAAAGCACCAATTCCAACTCAGGGGTCAGCAATTTGTAAAGGCCAGAAGCGGTGCCACAGTGGAGAGAATAGAGGGGTGTGTGTGCTCTTTTTAGGTTTTTCCAGAATGGGCCACTCTACTCAAAGAAGTGGGTGGTTCCTTTTCTTTATAAGAGTCAAGGCACAGTACATACCTTAACCTGTGAAAAATCTACTCATTTTCAGACTTAAACATATAAGGTATCTAAAATTGTACAAGGTTAGCATCTATTTGGGGATGAAGGGTGCAAATTAAACCTCAAAAAATTTGGGACTTTATTCCCTTTACATTAAATTATCAGAACTCTTTGTCTGTGATCAGCATTTCAATATGTAGCCAACAACATATGCAATTCAATCTATATGAGCAATGTCTGAGAAAGTCATCATATTTCATCTTTCGTTGCTTAATGATTTCGTATTTAACAACTGGGCTGTCATCATGTCTCCCTTTTCTGGCTCTTGGTTCTCCTTTGCCAGAACTTAACCTTAACCTCTAGCCCTTTGGATCACTGTATGAGCAATCCACACAAAATTTACCCAAAGCCTGGCAAAATCAAGCAGCTATTTGAATCTCCAAAATCCTACTTTTTTGCACCAGAAATTACATTACATTAAAACTTTGTGCTACACTTAACTTTAATTTCTTGGCCTCTTCAGGGCACATTTTTAAGACAGGCATTTTTCCAGAAAATGAATCAGATGAATTCCACTCCTACTGGCAAGAAATATGTTTTGGTAACTTTGAGATTCTATTAGCTTTCTGCATTTCCTGAGGAGCAAAATTCTTTTCTTCTCATCACTTAATTATACAGTAGGTTTCTGTGGCTAATTTCCTAAGGCAACACTCTCTGCATAACAACCAGGGTGGATATACAGAAATGGAAAAGGGGTGGAAAGAAACAAAGTGTGCAAGAGTGCAATCACCATTGATCATCATCAGTCATCATCATCAGCAACATCAATTAACCAATTGTTGCTGCAGTAAAAGAACAGATAAAGCACAGCATATATTTCCCCAATAGCAGTAATGATTACAGAATCCTGCTTGAATAATTGCCCAGAAAATTACAGCATTTGCTTTAGATAACACTTATAACTTTGTAGATGCTTTCCATGCATAGACAATATTCTCATATGCATTTGCTCAACAGATTTTCATGAAAACCAGTTCAAAACACTACAAGATCTCCATAGGAGCATGCCAGCACATATGAAATCATGAGCTCAAGACACTGGATGAAATCATAGACAAGTTATCGAAAACTCATATACAGCTGAAGACTTATCCATACTCTTTATTCCACAGCATGAAAATGTAGCCTGACAGGTATCCTGTCAGTTGTAGCCCAAAAGGTCAGCTAGGGCTAGGCTGACAACTCTTACTCAGAGGACATTTGTTGTTCAAATTGTGGAAGGACCTAAATTAAGTAACTTACTGTTCTCCAGTTTGATCTAATCCTTAAGCCAATTGAAACTTGGTCTGGAAGCGCTAGGCCCCCTCTATCTTTCGCATCGATAAGAGTCCTATAAGCAACTCTAGATTTTTTGCCTTTCCAAATGAATTTAACAAGATCTTTCCTCCAGAGATCAAAAATCTTTACTCTTTTGCAAATTGGTAATTTTTTAAACAAAAACATTTTAGATAGAATCATCATTTTTACCATGGCAACCTTCCCTAATCAGTTAAGTTGAACTGAACTCATTGCCATCTTTCAAGATCTATTTTAACCTCCTTCCAAGTTTTGTCATAATTATGCTGATATAAATTACATTTTTGTTGGTATTAAAATTATGAATGCATTGTTATTAATATTAATATTTTCATTGACATTATGCTGTTTGACCTGATTATTTATTTTTAACTTGGATTATACATTTTAAATTGTTGTTTCCCACCTCAATCCCTACAAAAGTGGGTAGAAAATAAATACCAATAATAATAATAATAGTAATAGTAATAATAATAATAATAATAATAATAATATATTTATCAAAACCTGTCTCCATCAGATCCAAAGGTTCAATAACAATCAGATTTGACATTTACCCATCATGGGTTTTCTTGGCAAGATTTGTTCACAGGCCAAACTTTGCATTCGTCTAAGATTGAGGGGGAATTACTTGCCCAAGATCACCCTGTGAGTTTCTATAGCCAAGTAGGAATCTGAACCCTGTTTTCCAGAGTCATAGATCAACATTCAAACATCATGTTGTCTCTTTATAAATGTAGTATCCCCAGGGATATATCCCATTCTGTTCAGTAAAATAATTTGCATTCATATTTCTCCCCTTCCCATCACTTTTTCCTAGCTCCATCTTTAACAGCCTTACCAAATCCATAGGTAATAAGCATTTATATCCATTTGATGAGGGAAGGACAAGTTTATTACAATATTTGAAGAGGGGTCAGGGATCATATGGATTCATTATCTGTGGATTTTTGAATATTTAGAATGAACTAAAACAATCAAAATAACCCACTTAATAAACATGTGGACAGGAGTTAACTAATAGACATTGTTTGGAGTGGTGGGAACAAAAGTAGTTTATGAAGATGTCAGGTTTTCCAATGTACTGTAATGTAATATAGCTGAGTCATGCACTGCTAATAGGCTTCTATTGGAAATGCTGAGTCATGCATTAACTGTATATAGGGAATCATTTGGGGAATGTATTCTGGCCTGGTCCAAATGAGTGTTAATGATGTAATCCTGGGTCT